TACTGGAGAGGCTGAGGCAAGAGAATCATTTGAGCCCAAGAGTTTGAGGCTGTGAGCTATGATGCCACGGCACTCCACCAAGGGCAACAAGGTAAGACTCTGCCTCAACTCCTCCCAAACCTAAAAAACAAAAACAAAAACTGCACTGTACTCAATACTAGCATCATAATCAAAATAAACCAAAGTCACGCTTCCCAATGACTCTGCTGACAACAAAAGCGTTTTCCTAAGTATCTGCAATGGAAGTCAAGCCCAGGTACTCATGAAAACTAGTTAAATGGGAATCCCCCAGACACAAAAGGCCACATATTATATGATTCCATTTTTGTATTAAATATTAAGAATAGGTAAATCCGTAGAGACAAAAAGCAACTTGGTGGTACCCAGGGACTAGGGGAAAGGGAGAAGGGGATTTGATTGCTTAATGGACAAGGTTTTTTCCTTTTCGGGTGATGACAATGATGTGATGTAACTAAGTAGAGGTTGTACTTGTGTAACAGTTTAAATGTACTAGGTGCAACTGAATCGTACACTGAAAAATGATTATTATACGAATTTTCCCCAATTGTACAAAGGAAGGAAGGAAGGAAGGAAGGAAGGGAAAAAGGAGAGTTCCTAGGGAAAAGAGGGATGAATGTCCAAATTGAGGAGAGGTAGAAAGCAGGGTCCTGAGAACTCCATTGTCTTGGGGGTGCTCTGCTCAAGGCCCAGTTCAGTTCCAGTTTATGAGTGTGACAGGGACAAAAGTGACACGACTAAGGGAGGAAGGCAGAGTCAGAAAGGACGTAGGGGAGGAGAGTTTTGAAAAAGGAGCCAATTCAGAGCTGCTGAGAAAGTGCAAGTTCGTGTTCACAAGGCATAGATGGGTCCAGACATACAGAGCTGGGAAGTGCTGGATGAGGAAGACAGAGGGTGACCGGTGACCGGCAGAGACAACAGAACATTCCCGGGAAGAGGGCTGGGAATGCCTCAAAGAATTTTCTTCACACAAAGGAAGGGTGGACAAATTAGGAGGGAACATGCTATTTTGATACGTTCTATAAAAATAAAGGCAAAGCCACCAAGGAACGTTAGATAGATAAGATAGTAGAGTAGAAAATGACTTGCTGGCTCATAAGAAACTTCACTTTCAAGCTTTATAGAGCGTTGTGGTCTGCTACGAGTAGAACCACTGTCCAGTTTTGTGTCTTTCTGTTTGGGCTTAAAATCACCATCTCTTGGAATAGCCAATTAATTAGCATATTCATGAGCCAGGATCTATTTATAGCCTGCCTTATCATCTGTCAGTAAAAGTGAATGGCAGTATACCAGTTCCCGCATAAATGTTTACTAAACACCTCCCTGGGCCTAGTCTGGACCGCCAGGCAACGAGGCTGACTTTGCCTGTAGCCTCTAGGGGTAGTGGGGGTACAGTTGGTCACTTCTCCACTGTGAGAGGGGCTGAGAGTCTGAGGGGTCCCTCTCTACAGGGGTGGCAGAGAAAGCCTGCACGGAGGAAGGACTGGCCTGTGGTCAGCTCCCAATTCTATCTCTTACTAGGCTTATGACCTTTCAGTTTTTGAGATGGGGATGACATCTAATCAAAGGGCTATTGCGAAGAATAAAAAGTATATGTAATGTAGCTATTTCTAATTCAATGTGAATGTGTAGGGTATGCAGTGTGGAGCAGGCATGCTGGCCAGAGGGAGTTGCATGGTGACAGAAACCAGAGAAAGCACAGGTCCTGGGGGGAGGAAGTAGAGGATGGAGCTGAGTAAAGCAGAGGATGTGTAATAGGAGGTGGCTGGACAGGGGCTGGGGGCCCTCATGCAAGGAGAGGAGCACCTCACTCCACACCATGGAACTGGGCTTGACCCTGTGGGCAGGAGGGCAGCATGTGCAGTCACCCCACCCAAGGCATTCTGCCATAGTCACCACTGGCTACTCTTGAATGCGCTAGAGCAGCGGTTCTCAACCTGTAGGGCGCGACCCACAGGAACTGTATTAAAGAGCCATGGTATCAGGAAGGTTGAGAACCACTGTGCTAGAGTTTTATAAAATTTAGAAACATCACTTTTTACTCTTGGACACTGGCCCTTTCCGGTCAATGCTTTTATATCATCTCACTTAAATTGCCTGCACCACAGAAAGCAATCTGGTTAATGAATTTACAAATTTCTCTGCCAATATCTGCTGAGTGAATACTTGTTCTGGACTCCATGGGGATTACTAGACGTTTATAATCCTACCTGGAGAGATGAGAGAGCCACAAAGTGATAAGGTAGAAAACGACAAAATGAGTGGGAACAAAGGCAGAAAGTGCACTGGGACAGCTTGGACTGGTGGGCAGGGCCAGCCCTGGAAGGGTGCCACAGCCCCTCTAAGCACATACAGCTGGTGATCCCCGAGGGTAAACACATCCTTCTCTCTCTGAAGCTCTCTGCCTCCCTCCGTAGTGGCATATCAAGGATTGGAGAGGCACTGTGGATGGTGGCAGTGGTCCTAGTGCCAGTACTTTATAACAGACACTATTCAGAGTTGCTGGTACATGGTGACAATAAAAAGCAGACCCATTTTTGGTTTTTTTTTTTTTTTTTTTTTTGAGACAGAGCCTCAAGCTATCTCCCTGGGTAGAGTGCCATAGCTTCACAGCTCACAGCAACCTCCAACTCCTGGGCTCACGCGAGTCTCCTGCCTCTGCCTCCCAAGTAGCTGGGGCCACAGGCGCCCGCCACAACGCCTGGCTACTTTTTGGTTGCAGCCATCATTGTTGTTTGGCAGGCCCAGGCTGGATTCGAACCCACCACCTTAGGTGTATGTGGCTGGCACCTTAGCCACTTGAGCCACAGGCGCTGAGCCATTTTTGGTTTTCTTTTTAGTGATTTTAAGCTCTGTGAAGACGAAGCCCTATTTACCACCTGTGCCAAGGGTTAGTGGCCATTCCAACAGCCCCCTTTCCTCATTTGGTTAGCTACTGTTTCGGAATCAGCAGAAGGAGATAAACACCCACCTTAACAAGGTGTTTTGAGAGGGTGAAATGACACAACCCTAAGTGAAGATTCCTCCTGTCTCAGGGAATCCACTTAAAATGAGCTCTTTTTCTTCTGTACTTTTATCCCTCCTAAAGTGGTTCCAGAATCCAGTGTTGCTAGACTAGCCAACATTTGTCCACTTGTCTTTCTGTCTATACTAGCAATGTCCATCTAGCACAGCGGTTCTCAACCTGTGGGTCACGACCCACAGGAACTGTATTAAAGGCTTGTGCCATTAGGAAGATTGAAAACCACTAATCTAGCACAAACCACCCCTTACATGAGTAAGGAGTCTGATAGGAACCAGTCGCCTTTAATCTCACTCCCTAAGGGAGACCGAAAGCCTTCAGGGGGCAGGGGCTGCAGGAAGGGTGGCTACAGTGGATGCGGCATTGGTATAAACCTGTTCTCCACTCACTATCCAAATCTCAAACAAAAGGTTGTACCCTCAAGAGCTTGTCCCCAAATAAAACTGAACAGGCCGGCACAGTGGCTCACACCTATAACCCTAGCACTCTGGGAGGCAGAGGCAGGTAGACTGTTTGAGCTCAGGAGTTGGAGACCAGCCTGAGCAAGAGTGAGATCCTGGCTCTAAAAAACCCAGCCAGGCTTTGCCGTCGGCACCTGTAGTTCCAGCTACTTGGGAGGCTGAGGCAAGAATATCACCTGAGCCCAAGAGTTTGGGATTACTGTGAACTCTTGACACCATGGTGCTTTACTAAGGGCAACAAAGTGAGGCTCTGTCTTGAAAAATAAATAAATAAAATAAAAATAAAATCGAACAAATTACATAACAGTATGTCAAGTGATGTAACATCACACACAATTTTTCCAGACATCCTAGGGAAGAATGCTCATGGTACCCACAGGCCTCCTGGGAAGTCTGGGTCTCTAGTTTTCCCCCAGTAGCTCCTTAAAACTCACGGTGAACAAAGGGAGAGCAGAGAACATGCTTTGTCTTCCTCACGTCTTAATCTTGATGTGTCTGACTCTTTTTGAATGTGGGAGCAATACACAGTGCACATTCTTTCACGATAACAATAAAACCTACAATGATTCGTTTCTATTTGAAAAAAATGGCTAAAAGTTTATAAAGTAGTTACTAAGAAATTTCAAAACATGTTTCTCACTTTCTAATTAGTGACTTTACAGGCTAAAAAACAACTCTACCCAGACTGGAGAAAGGGTAATACAAAATATTTGACCCTCTAAATTGATCAAATCTATCGATTTCAGATCGCAAAATGTATTCTAGATGAGCTACCTCCTTGCAGCAGACAGAAACTTCTTTAAGAACTGGGGTCCTGCAGTGTCTGAGGCAGCTTGGTTCTGGGGAGGAAGGAGCCCCTTTCTTCCTCTCATTTAGAAGGAACGGGTTCTAGGTTACAAACAAAACCTCTCCCTTCCGTCTCACCCGAGCCTACACTGTAGTCACACATCTCTCACACTTGTGAGCCCCTCCAGGGCACAAAGCCGAGCCAGCCCGGGCTGCTGGTTAGCAGAGGGATTCACTGGGCTTTACCGCGCTTTCCTTGCTTCTAAAACGTGCAAGAAAAAAATTCCAACAAAGCAAAACTTCAGCGCGAGCGCTTCTTTGAAAAGGCTAGAATGTTGATTGGTGGGGGTGGCTGGTCCCGGGAGAAAGAGACCACACAATGATCAAGAAGCGAACGCGGGAACCTCAGGCTCGGCCTGGAGGATCCTGACCCCTCTCCCTCCACATCCGATACCTGGTGGCAGCGCGGTTCATTCTCCGAAACCGAGTCCGGAGGGGTACCGGCTGGGCCGGCGAAAAGGTTGGGTGGGTGGGCAGGGTCCACCTAGATGTAAGTTGAGGGGGACTCAGGATCTCAGCCCAAATGCCTGTTTAGGTTCCTAAGGAAACTGAGGCAGGGGTGAGGTCAGGGGCACCTCCACCCCATTGCCCATTTGGTCCCCCTTCCGTGTTCCTCCTCCTGCTGCCCGACCCATTGCCGGGGCAGCTCTCACCTGGCTTGCCGGCCTGGGTGCGGGCAGACAGCAGTGGGCCGCACAGACTGAGACCAGCGGCGACAAGCAGCAGCCGCTGCGGCCCCATTGTCCCGAGGCTCCGCGCCGCGCCGCTCCGGGAGGCTGTCCCCGCTTCGGGCTACTAGTCTCGACTTTCTCTCCTCACTTGCTTGGGGTCCTGCAGCCGTCGGCTCTGGCCGGCGGAGCGCGGGGCTGCGAGCGAGCAGAAGCAGGCGACTGGTGGCTTCTCGGCGCGCGGGTGTCCCCAGGCGGCCAGCAGCCGGCGCG